CAAAAAACAAGAGAAACAAATTTCGTTTCAAAGCGAAATAAATGGAACAACCCGATACTGTAATGCACCAAATACTGGACAGTCTCTTAATCCGGACGTTTCTTTTTTAATTAAATATGACACCTACTTGGCCACAAAATAATTTTGTTAGATGAATCTGAACGACACTATAGGATCTAAATAAAATGTTCGTGGCATTTGAATCGTACTTGGGCTTATTAATCAACTTTTTAATGTGGCCGGATTTCGGTGCATTACGGTATCCCGCATACCCTTAATTCTGTATGTGTATACATATGACCAGAAACCGCAAACAGTTTGACATTATATCGGCTTGGAAAAGACAAAATTCCCACGGTGGGTCACTACCCATAGATTGAGAAACGTTGATCCAGGAAGTTGCTGATTTCGAGCAAATCATTATTCTGATCACAGTCTTCTGGATGGTAATCAAAGTAGTTCATTAGTAATCTCACTAGGCGGTGCTTGTATGCAAGTAAGTTTTCAGTATAAGCTACATCTTGATCACCATTTAGGAAGCTGCTGCCAATGGGACATTAATGCAGGCAACCACCCGGATGCTGGAAAATAAGATCAAAATTATATCACAAGATGACGTCAAAATACATTCAGGACCCCAAGACATATTGAGGACATTCACATGTACAACAGTGAAGCGTAGTGCTGTCTACCAACCAAAAGGCCTTGACCCACTGAACCACTTTGCCGAAGACCAGACTTCTATATGAACAGGATCCCAAGATATAGTATAATCAGGAAATTTACTTGAACACTGCCGCGTAGTGAGAACATTCTGAACTGCTGTTCACCAACCAGAAGGTCTTAATACACTGAATAACTTTGTAACGTCAGAAACGTTTTATATGGCCACTGGCCAAGATACCAAGTTATTTGGAACATTCACTTGCTGACTAGCACCCCGTTGTGTTACAATTGAATTGTATGCGTTCTCCAATGATCCACTGAATAACTTTGTCGAAGATAGAAACCATCTAAATGATAAGGGTTCCAAGGTATAGCATATTCAGGATATTCACTTGTACAGTAGCGCCACATGGTGGGAAAACAATGGTGACGTAGGACTACGTAGTATTATATAATAAATATTATTTGTTAACTGCAGCAGGAGCTTGTGTTTTGTGTAGGAATAGGAATTTGAGTGGGGCTCTCTCTGTTTATACACTTTAGTATTACCATGATTGCCCTGAAAAGAACTTTTTATATGAATTTTGGTTTTGGTGGGACATGTTCAGAAATGTATATCTTTTGTAAAATCTTGGTGGCGCTGAAAAGGTCGATGGTAGTACAGGCTTAAAGCCTTTGGAAGATGATGATGAAGTATAGGCAACTGGATCAGCAAATCAGACCGGACAATCCCATATTCTTCGGTTCAATGATTGGGCACTTGCAAGAGTCTCGGCCGGTCTGCTGCTGGACAGGGGTTGAACTGGTGTCTGCGACAGGTTGGGAGGCCACAGCGAGGGAAACCTCAACCTTGCTACGACGAATGGGTACTAAGAAGAGTCTAGACCTGGCATGGGGCATGAAGTAGTTCGCCTCCTCGTGGTGTGCCCTGGAAACGCTAACTATCGAACCCAAGGGAGGGATATTGCGGCTAAACGAACTACCGCAGAGTAGGGACGCTGGAACCCCATCCAGCTCGTCCCAGGAGGTTGAGAAGCCCTGCACAAACCCTCGTTGTGCAAAGGCAGGAGTGACACCGGGTTCTTAGAGTGCTTAGCACACGCAGCTGGTAAGCGGTCACATCTGTCCTAAGCTGCTCTGTTGGACAGTTGGCTGGCTATAACGTCTGCTCTAGAACTCAGGCGAACAACGAACAGCGAACAACAAGAGGAAGGCCCTGCACAGCTGCTCACTGTGCAGTAGCGAGTGTCACGTCGGACACAACACCTAGTGATGCGCCATAGTGCAACCGGCCCCCTCCCATGACGTAATGCTTTCGGGCGGTTCCGGGGAGGGCAAGGGCCTAGAGCACAGGGTAAGGTTTAGTGGGTCGGGAGAGCTATTTCTCCCATCCCCACACCCTGAGTTATCTTCTCAGGAGTCTGGGAGCAGATTCCCCTGTATATATAAAAAAACCCGGCTACTGCTGGACACGGATTGACCCGGTGGTTGGAAAGGCGCAGCGAAGAATACCTCAACTTTGCTACGAGGAATGAGCACTCAGAAGTAAATGTGTTTTACCTGAGAGATGAAAAGATTCAATTCAATCAATAATACGACACTGGACATCGAACTATGCTAACGACACCACCCAATGGGAGGAGCTTCGGTCAACTACTGTATGGGCGAAAGCAACAATTAAGGGTATATCAGCTGACGTTCCTCCTCTTTTTACGATTTTGTCGCTTATAAATCGGACATGAAAAAATATGAAATGCCCCATTCATTTTGGGTATTTTATCATACACTTCATCTGCTGTGCCTTCCTACAATAAATTATGTGTTGTATAGAAACAGCCGGTAGAATATCAGTGTCCACCCAGCTAAAGCTCATCCTCTTTTTAGATTTTCTCGTTAAACTCCTTCTCTCAACAAGTTGGTAAATGTTAGCCTTTAGCAGAAAGACGCTTAACACTTTTTTCGGCGAATTTATGATCCTATTTCACGTCATGGTTCGTCTCTTTACCTGTTCAGATAAATTAGTACTTTAATTTATTTTCTCTACTGATCTACTGAAAAATCTTTACGATTAAAAGTTAATCGAATATGTGAACTTTTAGGCTGCCCTAGAAAATAGTGTAATTTCATGTTTTTTCGTGGTCCTTTGAAAATGTCGAACAGCAGAATTGCGACCAGCAAGTGTAACCCAAGAACCAAACGCGGTGCGATGCTAGTTTTCATTGCTATGACGACGACTGAGCTAAGGGGCTTATAAGCAGAGGGGTGAAAGTCAATTCTCTTCATCGATTTCCTGTTTTGATGACCATGACGTCACTAACCTATTTCGCACTATTTCTGCCATGCTATTCTATCATCCAGAACAACAAACGTATCAATGAATGTGTTTACCATCAAATAATTAACGAAACAGAAAGTCAATGCAGAGAATCGATCAAAATCACATGCACCCCTGTTTCCAAATTTGGTTACAAGATTACAACTCTGGAGAGCATTTTGTGTGGTCGTTGGGGACGTGTGGTTCTGAAAATGGCGATGAATGTGCAAAATGTTACGCAATTGCATCCTCCTCATTCGCACACGCCCGAAGATCGGAGGCGAATGCCACTTCGACTTGTTTCGTCTACTAACGACTCTTTGATGACTGTGTTGGGGAAGCAGCATATACAGGTAAGTAATTGGTGGATTTGTTAGTTATTTTGATGCTTTTGGACAATGCTTGACAGTTTCCACATTTTCAATAGTGTCTTGTTAAAAATCAACAGTAAGAAGTTGCTTCCGATGCGTAGAAATATTTCTGATCGATTGGTGATAAAATTATTGAAATTGGTCCAGGGGCTGCTGACTTATTAACGTTCAAATCTTTCTTAATTTCGTTACATGTTCCATTTTCGGTTTTCACAAAGTGTACCCCAATACACACTAATCAAAAGGCCTTGATACACTGAACAACTTTGCTGAAGACAGTAGTCTTCTATGAGATAACCATCCTGGGATATTCCTGGGGGTACGAAACATCTAAATCTCAATTTTAGATTGTCGGAAAAAATCAAATTAGCGTATCAATCTACGAAAAAACTTTTTACATCTCTTGCATCTAAAACCATCTATTCACATGTCACTTAAAATTTTTGCATGAAATTTTCAAATCTTCATCAATTTTCTTCAAGCGAACGTGCATCTCACAACAGCATTTTGATTTTTTTTTTCCTGATGCTTAGATAAAGTTGTCCCCCTCGGGATATTCCTAGGATGAACGGAAAACTCATAAGTGCTTTTTTTATACAGGGGGGAATCTGCTCCCAGGCACCTGAGAAGATAACTCAGGGTGTGGGGATGGGAGATGTAGCGCTCCCGAGCCACTAAACCTTACCATGTGTTCTAGGCCCTTGCCCTCCCTGGAACCGCCCGAAGGCATTACGTCATGGGAGGGGGCCGGTTGCGCTATGGCGCATCACTAAGTGTTGTGTCAGATGTGACACTCGCTACTGCACAGTGAGCAGCTGTGCAGGGCCTTCCTCTTGTTAATCGCTGTTAGTTGTTCGCCTGAGTTCTAGAGCAGACGTGATAGCCAGCCAACTGTCCAGGGCCAAACAGGACAGATGTGACCGCTTACCAGCTGCGTGTGCTAAGCACTCTAAGAACCCGGTGTCACTCCTGCCTTTGCACAACGAGGGTTTGTGCAGGACTTATCAACCTCCTGGGACGAGCTGGATGGGGTTCCAGCGTCCTTACTCTGCGGTAGTTCGTTTAGCCGCAATATCTCTCCCTTGGGTTCGATAATTAACGTTTCCAGGGCACACCACGAGGAGGCGAACTACTTCATGCCCCAAAACAAAGCACAACGCTCGAGTGCTCAAAATTTACACAACTTGGCGCTTGTTTGTTGCGTTTGTTGTGACATTGCTGTATTTTTACACCATAGGTGGGTAGACTCGTTTTTTAATGAGGTCGCAATCACCATCGGTTTTTCACCATATGTTTCGGTCTCAAATTTTTCAACCATCAGTGTACATCGCTCAAGCTCTCGCGAAAAGCTTCCAGGTGCGGCAAATCTCTCACTCTCGCAAAAATACTCCGATCGTTTTCTCTCCATGTATACTCATTCTCTCTCCTTGCACCGATCTTCCATGCATCGACCCACACCGGGGTCTAAACCCATCATATGTACCTATGCTCCATTCACCCAACCACCCATCGCTACGACACTTCATTGTGGCATCGACCAAGTCCGGCTCGCATATTATTGTGTTGTTTGCTGTCGTCGCTCGTTTCGATCGTCGTCGTCGTTTCAAAGGGGGTCCCACAATCGCCACCGCGATCGTCGTTGTCGTCGTCGCCGTCGCGAGTCTCGTTCGGGGCCACATTTAGGCCAGCTATAAACCGATACCAGAACGTTTTTCCATTCAGTCATCTCTCCAACTGCCGAAGCGTACTGATCTCTCCTGGCCACAAACGTCAAGAGGATATCAGCGAGTGCTGAAAATTTGTGTGTGATCTATATTCGCTTGAACTTAGCTGAACGGAGTTGGTCCCGAACCTTCGTGGTTTCAAATTCAGAATATTTTGGAGATCGAGTGTTAATTTTAAGGTAAGTTCCCGGAGCTTGGCTCCGGATTTCCCGTAAGATTGGAATTGGGAGTGTGAAACCAAAAAAGATCAGTGTCACACTTCCGTGTGCTGCGTGTCATATTTCGCTGCCCTGCCGATCGCAGACTGAACTGGACTGTTGTGTTTCTTTTCGCTCAGTGGACTTGTTATTGTATCCCCGGAGACATCGAGTGACCAAGTGAAATCGAATCAAAACAAACCGTTATAATCGGGGTCCACCTGAATGGGAGATGCTGGACAGTAGTGGAACGAGAAGAGCAAAAAGTGGAACTTTTCCTTCCCTCAAGTGATGTAAAGCGAGAAAAAGGCGAGAAAAAAAAGTCAAGATTACTACGTTCACAGCTGAAGCGAGGAAGTGATGAAAACATTAAATTCCCCACACTTCAGGCGGGGGAGAAAGTGGAGGTGGGCAGCACAGAAGAAAGCTGGCGGTTTGTGCTCGTAACAGTTCTTGCATTGCACGCTCGGTTCCGAGCCAATCTGCTTCTGGCCGCGTTGCTACTGGCCGTGAATGCCATTTAATTAAAAATTCAAAACTGGTAGCGGTTTTCTTCGAAATTCCGGTCCTCCCCTTTCAGACCCACCGGGAATTGCGGGGGAATACAGGCATGAAGTTGAATGAGCGCGCGTACTTACAAGTGCTGCTGCTGGTGAGGAGTGCGCCCGCGCTCAAAAGAGAAACCCGCGCAGACGGCAAAGTGCAAAGTGGCCAATGATAAAAGGAGAAAAACAACCGAGTGGAATCGATCCGCTCGCGAAATTTTCACCAAAAGTGGGATGTGCGGTTCCTGGTGTGCCACTGATGTGTCATTTGTGAATCTTAATGGGAATAAATTGTGTGTACTGTGGTGCCAATCGTTTCTATGGATTATGCAGAAGAAACGGTTCTGCATTCGTTGTATACATTTTATGGTCTTGTGCAACTTTATGGCGGTGGATTGGTCACAAAAAGAGAAATTATTCCCAAAATGGTCCTCAGAAAGTGGTATGGACAGTTAATTGGCGTTGACATAACACCAGGCTGTGAAGCAATGCAATTTATGATTTGTTTTTTTCTTTCTATTTGAACTGACGGTTGTGAACTCTCACACAAAATCTTTTTGGCTAAGCTCGCTGCTTCACACTCAGTTTCTAGAGTCAATAAGAGATAGCTTTCTAATGAGTAGTTCTTATAGAAGGTGAGTCTTTTCAAAATTAGGCCCACTTTTCAATCCAATGGGTTAAATATCTTATATCAGGATACCACAATTTCATAATTTGACTAGATGATACTAAACTAACTAGGTTGCCGGCCAAGAATCTTTGCAGGGCAAAACCCTTTTTTTCTTGAAACATAAATGTACACCATTACAAATCTTCTTTCCTGCACCATCTTCAAAATGCATTTAATAAATTTTCCGGTATGTAACACACTATGGTGCCTCATTTTTTATTGAATATTGGCAATCTTATATGCCACAATCCAGTTTGATGCAAAAAATCGTAAATAAATATGAAGGTTTAGATGGTTTGAGGTTTATATGGAAAACATGGCAAAATGCTATGGGGAATCTTTAAATTTTCCAAACAACGCTCTAACTTGGCCCAAGTAACAATTTGGGTTTTATGAAGGTACTGTAGACCATGATTTAGACTTGTAGAGTGCTTTAAATCCTCAATAAAATTTGCAATGTTACTTGGGTGGTTCTAGTTGCCCAAACGATGAAAATTTTCCAAGACAACGATTAACAAAGATGCTGTTGTTGTGTTGAAATTGGTGTTGTTGTATCGCACATATTCAACAAACAATTTATCTCATTGTTCGGATTTTTGCTGCTAACTGACCGCAACAACAATACGTCCACGTCCAACCACGTATTAATTTTGTTCAGCATTTGAACAACGAGAACCAAAGTTATAACTATACAAGTAAAATTTAAAATGCTTCCATAGTAACTCCCACTCAAATTTCAAACTATTTGGATGAACTCTAAACCTTAATCAATCTTTACAATTTGTTGCACAGATACATATTTTGGGGTTATGAATCAAACTAGATGATGATCTATTAGATTAATAATACTGTTTTCAAAGTGAAGCTCCCTAGTAGCACAGACATACTAGTTGACACTATATTAAAAATATTGCTAGATTGCAATAAATGGCAATACTGTATGTCTTTGGGTTCCTACATCCTGACACTTAAGTTTCATCTTCCTATACGAGATTTCGCCTGCGCTCAACTATGTTATCTTTGAAGGACTTACAGTTATTACTTGAGAGCTTTATATGCCAACCGTGAATTTGTATATTGCTTATATAGGGGAAATGTCGACCTAAATGCCCCTTATTTGGGCCCGTACATAAATTCTGCAATCGAATAAATTTTCAATAGCGACCAAAAATATCCATAAGTACCGCCCAATGACGCGTTCATCTAGATAAAATTAATAAATAGCAGATTTTTAGCGATGGGCCCAATCTTAGATCCATAGACCAACATTAGAGCCATTTCCCCTACATAATTCTTACATCATCTGTATATTTTTCTTTCGAGAACTGTAATGACAGTACTCACAACGGACTTTAGTCCACATTTTTAAGGGCATTTTGTGGGCATTAAAACCAACGTTTCAGCTTACAATTTGAATATGCTTTGTTTATTTGAATATACTTATTTATAGCTGAATAAGCTATTATTCAGCATTTAATGTTTTTTGGTTATGGCCATATATGGATATTACCTGCAATATATCTATATGGAACATTTTCCATTTAAAATGCGTGTCAGACCTAATCTATCAGAAACTCAACGTAAATTAAATTTTTTTTGCATATGTGTCATTTCAAGAAAAAAAAACCTCTGAAAATGCCAGGTGTTGGGTATTTAGGCCGGAAGCCGCTTGACCAAATTCCATTAGACCCAATGCCATTAGACTGAATGGGTCATTGAGCTGAAAGCTATTAGGTTGAATGGTTCAATTTCGAAAAGAAATAAATTGGTCTCAGAATGTTCTTTTTTTTTTCCTTGCCGGGTATTTTCATCACTGCGCCCATTTTTCTGATCTATTGTGATATATTCCCCATTTTTTTTCTTTAGCTATATCAAGATGCCGTATCACTATTATGAGGAGTGATCGCCATCGTTTAAATAATAGCATTATCCCAGCACGGCATTATACTTCGAATAAAGTACACTGCCGTACTGGGAGTTGTTCTCCAAATGTCAAAGGGTCCAACAGCCCCTTGTCGAAGAACTTACGCCTTTTATAGAAAATTGCCTGACAATGACATAGCAAATGTTCCGAGTCTTCCTTTTCTATGCCACAGAAGCGACATACATCATCTTGAAGTTTTCCAATCAGCTTCAAGTGATAACGGCTCGGAAAATGACCTGTTATAAGACCTGCATATATATTAAGATCTTTCTTAGAAAGTTCCAGGATTTTGTGGATCACAGAAATGTTTGGATTCACGAATCACTTCGACTGCCTAGCAATAGAAGTGTTCTTCCAGTTTTCCTCCTGTTTTGAAGATTCCCACGCGTTTAGCTCCATTCTAAGAGATGCAGCCGATAAGCCACAAAAGGGCTCTGGCCCGATGAACTTATGAGAAGATCCGAGTCTTGCTAGTGCATCAGCTCTTTCATTTCCCTCAATCCCGCAATGACCAGGAACCCAATATAAGTTGACTTGATTATGACAAGACAATTTTTGAAGTGATTGAACACACTCCCAGACAAGTTTTGAAGTCAATGTCGCCGACTTTAAAGCATTCAGAGCAACTTGACTGTCGGACATGACGCATATATTTGAAATCTTAATCTTGGATTTCAACTTGGAACGCAGTTGGCCATCTGCCCATAGGAACCGATATTTATATCCCTGGGCCGGTTACTCCTACTCCCACTTGATTGTTCAATCTTGAACCATCTGTATAAAAAACAATCGATCCTGGACGAAGAACCGGGCCACCAAATTGCCATGAATTACGTCCAGGGTCAACTACTTGAAAAAGTCGATTGAAATTGTATCTTTTCTCCATCCAGTCTTCGTTGTTCCTTGCTAGAGAGCTGATACCAACAGTTTTTAGAATCCTAAGATGTCCTCTAAGGTCTCCTTCAAGAGTTTCACTGACCTTGTAATCCTTAGAGCACACTTTTCGGCTTCTAATTGTACAAATTGATGCAATTGTAGCATATAATGCAAAGCATACAACGCCCTCGATGGTGTACTTCTCATTGCACCTGTTTTTGAGAGAGTTGCTGTTCTTTTAAAACAATCTTCTATACTCTGGAAAATTTCTGAATTGTTAAAGATCTTTGTCTGAGATGGGACAATGAAGATATTAAATCATCTTGAAGTTTTAAACATTAATCAAGATTCTGAATTCTCATCTTTCGTTTTATTAAAAAACAATTCTTTGATTTTTTAACCTACGATTTTTCATAACTAATTTCACCTTCTTTAAAACATCAGCAGTTCTTTTGCAGTTTAAATGTTTTTATCTGACGCCATGTCTAGTTGATGATTTTTCATGTGCGATTTTTCCTTCTTTTATTCTTGGGCGTTTCTTTGGAGGAATGGTAGATGAGCAAGTTTTGGCTCTAGTTATTAAGCATATTTATGCTTCACATTTTATAAAACTAAAACCGACTGTTTTGTAGCAAATGATACCATTGACTTGAAGTTAAAAGCATTCTAGAAACGGTGTGCAATCTGTTAAACTTGTGTCACAATAATCTGATTAATCGATTTAAAACTCATATCTCATGTGCCAGTTTTGACATCAATTCCTCCTTTATGCTCCAGTTTTCAACCGTAGTCATTATTTCAACGGAGCATTCTTCAATTACTAATAGGTGCAATGAAATCACGCTGGTTTTGATACAAATCCAACATTTTACACATAAATTTACAGAATTAAAAACAAAATAGTTGCAATAATGAGCCCAGTATCTTTCAAAGTACAAGTGGTATGTATTACGGGCGACGAATAACG